CTCGGCGTGAAAAGGGGAACCAAGGGAACCAAATGGGAAACACGCATTTTGGGAACCTCAATCTTGTATATATATATATATATAGCATCCTTCATGGTTCTCCAAATTTGCCAAAGGATTGATGACTAGCTCTACCAAACCCAAGTCAAAGGTTTGTGTGACCATGGCACGTATTATATATATATATACACATACGTTAATATTCTAGGTCCTCCAGTAAAGATGTTAGAATAAGGGTACCAACTTTTTTTCTGTAGTCTATTTTAGTAGGGGAACCCTCCCCGACCCTCCCCAAAAAAGGGTAAAAGGGGACTACTGGGGGATCTAGTTGTATATGCATACATAAAAATTTATGGTAATACTCAATGTATTGGTAACCATGTACAATATTGGTACAGTGGTATACCTCAATTTGGGTAACAATACTGGTAAATATTGGACAGGTAGCGACCCCAGCACAAAATGAGATGTGTTGCCTGGTGAGTACAAAACAAAGGGGACGCAAAACAAAAGAAACAAACATGAAAAAGGGGAGCTAATTCTGGGGAAGTATATACACATATACTATTTTGTAACGATTGTGAATTAACGGTAGACTTTCGTACGGAAAGCAAGTCGTGCTCTTTTCGTTAATTGGCCTGCCCCCCTCAAAAGGAGTGAACAGCTAACATAGACTCAAGGATCACGCAATTTCAGTTCTATTGCAACAGTGATCCTTACATTATACACCTGAGCATTGCCTTGTAAATGGTGGGTTCCCTTTATTTTGGTGCAAAAAGCCATGTTTCAAATTGGCAAAATGTATCTTTTAAGGAGCCCTGCATAAAATGGCAGACTTCCTGTGGTCACAACTCAGGATCTTCAGTCATGGGGTCTGCCATGGAGTGTTTTCCTTTGTTGCGGAGACTCGAGGTGTAGAACCTAAAAACTCGAGTTTTCAAAAAAGGCAGCCCCCTCTGGTCACAATATCATTCTGGCGCTTGCTGTGTTGTATGGACACCTCGCATTTGCTTGTTTTCTGGTTTCCTGGCTTCAAAAAGGCAAGCCGCACAAGGCAAGCGCTACGGGGAGGGTACCCGAAATCCGCTTTTGGGGGTTCATTTCAGTTGAGGAAGCCAAAGGGAAGCCAACAAAGGAACCCGCACTCCCCCCACGCCCAAACACCCTTCTAGGCTTCCATGAAATAATACTGTGGGTGGACGAAATCCTGCACCACTTGGAAACCATGGGAAACCATTGTTTGTTGGTGTTTACAAGGGAATCATCATGCCAGGGATTCTTAGGTGGTGCAGGATTTGGTCCACCCACAGTAGTCGCCCACTCCGGAAATCGTAGGCCCTGGTCTGAGACTTTTTCGGCCTGTCGATAACCTGTTTACCATGTTGAGCCTGTTGAGCATCCAAATATGGTGCCCTTTTGAGCTTGTCGAAGCTTCTGCGATACTTAATTCGGATCCGCATGTGATCCAAAAGAAATCTGCCCCGAATCTAGACCAAAGTTGTGCTCCCTGATGGGGGGGTCAAAGGGTCAAGAAACAAATCGAGAACGCCCCCCCCATTTGTTCAACACCATTTACACTCCTCCAAATCCCTCACAACCAAAAAGTCTTCCCAACCAACAACGCCAATTCATCCTTAATTTTCAGCCCCAACAACGCCTACCCCCCCTCCAACTAACATATCACCATGTGTGTCCCAAGAAGGAACCAATCTTCCAGGTCATGTTCGTGGAAGGGAGGGGTCTCCATTTCGACCAACGTTGGCTGGGTCTCCGAGGCCGCGGCTCCGATGCCGCCGCCTGCGTCGCAAGACGGAGAGCCGGAAGGCTTTTTCTTTTCTTTTCTGGGGCTCTTTCCCTTTAGCTTCGGCTTGGTGAGATGGGGTTCCACCAAAAAGCCCCGGGGTGAGGCTTTCAACTTGGTGGGCATGATTTACACGGGGATGTTGTGTCTCAGCCGGAGGGTTTTCGCCAAAAAACGGAGGGGTTCCAACATGTTCATGGGTTCCTCTTTGCCACCGGCGAACACTTCAGAAAGCGACAAAGATGTAAATTTTAAAAAATGGAGCGCTGTGGAGGGCCTTGGAAAAAACCGAAACCTCTTCCTTTGGAGGCTCCGGGGGGCTGACAAAAGTCGATCGCCAACCTCGTGCGTGCCCTCCAGACATCCTTCCGGGAAGCACTTGGCAACTTCACAGAGAGTTGGATCCATGGTAAGGAGGTTAACCCGATCGCAAGCTATGACTAAACATCCGAAGGTGAAGGTGAACTCCAAGACTCATGTCTTGGGCCCATTTGGTTGAACACTCCTCTGCAAACCCACTCGAATCATGGGGGGCCTATCCCACCACCCACTACGGCGCTTGAAGGCAATTGCTGTGCGACCCTTGCACCCTCTCAAATAGTTGGCGTCCCTTTGTTCTCCGAGAAAAGCAAATCCAAACTCATCGAGACTCCAAAGAGCACCTAACACGCAAGCCTCACAGAAGGCGCCGCCCGAAAAAGGACATGCCCTCTATAAGTCGCCCTCTATAAAAAGCACTGAAATGCCTAGAAACAAATCAGCTTCCCTGTGATAGGTGGTTTGGGAGCACCACCAACTACTCACTTCCTGGGTGGATTGGCCCAACAAAGTCCAATCTTGTTATTTACCGCTAAATTTGTCAGCCCCGAAAAGTGACCAAAGTCCATGAACTCAGGACGTGAGATTAAGGTTGACCAACCAGATCGATTCGTGTAGCTCGAGGCGATCCTTGCCTGGAGGATGAGGCCTGAGCGTATCCAGATGGGTTTCAGCTGGGTTTCAATGCTCGAACAGCTGGTGGCCTCAAAGGGACATGGGCTCGTCTTTCTTGAACTTCTACCCCTTATCAGGGATCCTTACATGAAAAACACCTGAACATTGCAACTTGTAAATTGTGGTTTCCCTTTATTTCGGTGGAAAAAGCAACATGTTTCAAATTGGCAAAATGGAGATCTTTTAAGGAGCCCTGCTTCTGTCGTGTTTTTTCTCCTTTTTCTTCGGGACACCACAAACGGCAAATCTCGCCATTTCGGGGGGGTCCGTTTCCGGAAAAGAACGACACACCAAATCAAATGGGAAACGAAATGGACAACCAAAAAAACCATGGGAAACCATTGGAAAACCAAAAGGAAAACCAAAAGACTTCGGAGGGTGGACAGCGCTCAACACCGTCCAATTACCCCCCCCCCCCCCTGTGTTCTGTTTTTCAGACCATTGATCTCCCGCAACATTTGGCTCAAGGGCCCCTTTTGCAGAATCACGACCATCCGAGCGTGAAGACAAAAGAGCCATTGCAGGCCGCTTACAGGATTATCCACAAGACAATCCACCAGGGACAATCCATCCTCCAATCATCCATTACTGGCATATTGGACTCTCTCCTAGATCCAGGGACCAACAACGACCTCAACTACCACAGGGTTCCAGTTCCCTCCAAGGATAGGCACCTGGCCTCAATTCGTGGTAGCGGAGCAGGTTTTCCGCAGAGATCCAAGGGAAGATGTCATCAGATGGAGAAGGCTTCCTGGAAGCCTATACAAGTATGGCCAAGCCGAGCTGTACGGAGGAAACACTCAATTTATCGATGACCGCCAAGCAGCCGCCATTGTATGACGGAAAAGTCAGGTTCAGGTATGAGGAACTCGTGGACGACTGGGTGACGTAGAAGCATCCAAGCGAGGTCCATTGCTTAAGAGCAGACTCACTGGAGATGCTTACATGTACAAGGCCGTCCTCCAGAATGATCTATTGCAAGATCCTGATGAAGGAGTCAACTATTTCAAGAACACGCTGAAGAAGTACTTTTGAAAGGTGCGACCAACGTGTATCTGTACAGACTCCTCAGTTTCTTCAATCATCGGAGGCAGAACCAAGAGTTCCTCATTTTTACCTCAAAATTCGAAATCCTACTTATGAGACTGAAGGCAGCATGGATGGACTTGATGCCTAGGACAGCGCATCCAATGGAAGCAAGATGACAAGCACGGTTGGTACATCAATGTTCATCAGAACGTTGCCATCGACGAACTGCAGGAGATCACTTTTGACAAACACCTGAAGGACGACACTCCTCTTACTCCACAAATGCATACTGCATACAGAAGTGTCCTAGGTCAGATCAACTGGTTACAGTCGCGAACGCAATTCCACATTGGTTATCAATTCTCAAGGTGTGCATCCAAGGCATCATCACCAACCATTGAGGACGTTCACGCCATCAATAAGACAGTCAGAACCATCAAAAGCATCCCGCTTAGCATGAGATTCTGGCCCCTTCGTGGCAAGACACGCATAGTTGGCTATCCAGATGCATCCTATCGCAACAACGAGGATAAGTCATCCCAACGTGCCCATGTTATTTTTCTTGCAGAACAAAGAGATCTTCGCCAGGGCTCATCGAACTCGAGAGGCTCACTGGTCGACTATGAGACGCACAAGATCACCGCCACAACCATGTCCACTACTGTTGCAGAGTTGCATGGACTAATGCGTTGTTACGGTTCAGCATTATTTCTTCGCGGTCTCTGGTCAGACATAGCGGGCGAAATTGCAGATGTACACATCCGCACTGATGCGAACAATCTTGTCACCACAGCATCCACAACACGTCAACCGGAACAGAAAGAAACAATGCATTTGATCCAGATGTTGAGAAAGGAAAGCAACAGTGGACAGATGCACAACCTTGCACATGTACGAAGTGAAGATTGTTTGGCAGATTCTCTGACCAAGCACTCAGCTAAAGCAGACGAGCTCATGAAGGCCGTCCTCACCGGCAATCTCTTGAATGTAGATGCACATCCACCCTTCCGTACCATGTTGCAGAACAAGGCATTCTTGGTTGAGTGGCTAGCACACAACACGAAGCACGGACCCGACATCATTGCCTTTGCAGGAGTCGGTATAGCAGAATCCATGTTTGCTTATTGGGGAACCTGGGCATGATCCGCATGTCCACGAATTCTGATGCATGAGTTTT